AGTTCATAGTACTTAATAGATTTAGCTGAAAGGGGACAGCATTTAGTTGTTTTCTAGGTAAGTGCTGCTGTAAATAAAATTATTTTCCTTTTACTGTCCCTCCTTTCTCTTCCTAAAATGATGGGATGACCATGCAAATACATAATAGCCAGATGATCAGGTTTTCAGTTCTATACCTCCATACTATTGTTTTTTTTTTTTTAAAGATGTTATTTATTTATTTAAGAGAGAGAGAAAGAGAGAATGAGCATGAGCAGGGGGTAGGGGGTAGAGGGAAAGAGAGAAGCAGACTCTGTGCTGAGCAGGGAGCCTGACTGGCCTCGGGGGCTCAATCCCAGGACACTGAGATCATGACCAGAGCCAAAGGCAGACCCTTTATTGACTGAGACACCCAGGCACCTCTCTATACTGTTTTCAGTGTCATTCTCACCGAATTTCCTTGCTTTTATCAGAGCTGCTTCAATTTCCTTTTGATATAAAAGCATCTGTGGTTTGAACTGATGGGTTGGCAGCTCTGCCAAAGTATTTAATACCTTGTGAACAATACACTTGACAGAAGCAATAATTGGGAACAAGTATGACAACAGCCTAACTAAGATTTGTAGAGGATCCTTCAACCTACTTTCTATTTGGCCAAATCAAGTTATGTAAAAGAGAATTTGATGGTGGAGTTTGTCCTACCTGGGATAACCAAATGGTTTGTTCTTGAACTTTATTATTCAGAAACACGTATCCAAATACAACCAAAAATGATGGCTACCATATAAATGTCAACTTGTTTGGTACGTAAATATGTACAAAGCGATTCCTCTGTCCAGCATCTTTGCAGCAAATGATTTAAGGCTTTTCTGTTGAGTTTGTACAGTAGACACAGATTACATGAGCCATGACTGTTATCGTAAGAGACAGGTTTCACATGTATCCTACCAAGTTCAAGCATTCAAAACCAAGGGAGAAACTGGACACAAAGCAATAGAAATCAGTTATCTCCTGGAAAGACTACACTTCCTCCTGGGAAGTCTGCACTTCAATAGGCACATCAATGAGAGGAGATTACGTCATTTGAGATCTGGGCAAAGAGTATAGATATATTAAACTATATAATGACATAAAACCATTCCTCAGGGGCAGACCTTCCTCTCTCCAAAGCTGACATTATGTGGTCATCATACATTGGCATGAATATATCAAGCCTGGAAGGGTACAGCCAGAGTAAATGACCTAACTATTTCTCAGATGTCTGGAAAATAATGTAACAAAATTTGTGTAAAGTTATAATTTAAAGGTGTAATTAATTAAATCAGAGCAAGAACATTGATTAACTAGTTGAACAAAGTGTTATTAGTTATGTCCTGTACTCTAATAGCACAATTATGTATTACAAGGTATTACAAAAAAGCTAAAATATCATATAGCTGAAATATCTGTGTTGTATTCCCATGGATACTAGTAACACTAGTTACATGCTTTTAAAATTTTCAATCCATTAAACTAACTTATTTTACTTCAAAACTGGTTCCTGAACATTATTAACCTGTGAGGCATTTTTTGGTGAGTTAAAGAGAAACATAATTAGCTTTATTTATGCGGAACTTTATCACAATGGCCACTGAGGATTTTTTTTAGGGTACCCTAGTAAAATGTACCTGACAAATATTCCTGAGAAAAAATGACAAACCAAACACCGATTAAAATTCCTTATATAGGGCAGCCCAGGTGGCTCAGCAGTTTAGCGCTGTCTTCACCCCAGGGCATGATCCTGGAGATCTGGGATCGAGTCCCACATCGGGCTCCCTGCATGGAGCCTGCTTCTCCCTCTACCTGTGTCTCTGCCTCTCTCTCTGTGTCTCTCATGAATAAATAAAATCTTTTTTAAAAAAAATTCCTTATACAGGGATGCTTGGGTGGCTCAGCAGTTGGGTGTCTGCCTTGGACTCAGGGAGTGATCCCGAGGTCCCTGGATCGAGTCCCACATTCAGCTCCCTGCAGGGAGCCTGCTTCTCCCTCTGCCTATGTCTGTGTCTCTCATGAATACATAAAATCTTTTTAAAAAACTCCTTATATAGCCATGGCCTTACTAATTCTTTATTGAGGTGTAACTGGTATACAGGAAACTGCTTATGATTAATGTATACAATTTGGTGAGTTTGGACATGTGTATACACTCATGGTACTATCACCACAACCCAGGTAATAAACATATCCATCATCTGTTTCCTTGTACCACTGTGTGTGTGTGTGTGTGTATGTGTGTGTGTGTCAAGAACACTTCACATTAGATCTACTCTCTTTAACGAAATTTTAAGTACACAATATCTTGCTGTTAACTATACGCACTATGTTATCTGGCAGATCTCTGGAACGTACTTATTGTGTGTTATCACAACTTTATACCCACTGTACAATTCCCCATATCCCCCGCCCCAAGTCCTCTGATAACCATCATTCTATTATCTATTTCTATACTTTTGACTATTTTAAATGCCTCATATCAGGGAAATCATGTAGTATTTGGTAACAGACCTATTTCACTTAACAGAACGTCTTCTAGGTCTATCTGTGTTGCCACAAATGGTAGGGTTTCCTTCTTAAGGCTGAGTGGCCGCATTGATTCTACCAAATTAGTTGCTTATATAAAGTATTACTCTGGGATCGAGTCCTATATCAGGTTCCACACAGGAATTTCTCCCTCTGTCTATGTCTCTGCCTCTCTCTCTGTATCTCTAATGAATAAATAAAATCTTAAAAAAAAAAAGACTGAAAAATTACTGGACATGAAGAAAAACATAGTCAAGAAAAAAAAAGCAGTCAACAAAAATATATCTTGAGATGGCTCTGTGGTTTTAGCAAATAACACAGCTGTTACAAATAAAGGAACATATGTGTATAAGGAGTGAATGGGGGGGGGTGGTGGGAATCTCAGTTGAATGGTGGAAGGTATGAAAAAAGAACCAAGTGGGGATTCTAGAACTGAAAAGCATAATAAAAAAATTTTTTTTTAATTTACCAGAGGGGTTTAAAAGATTGAAAATGACAAAAGGTTGTGTCAGTGAACTTGAAAACAGATCATAAAGATTAACCAATCTGACAAACAGAAAAAAAAAATACTGAAGAAAACTGGGCAGAGCTTCAATAACTGTGGGATAATCAAACAGTCTAACATATGTATAACTGGAGACCCAGAAGGAGAAGAAATTGAGAAAGGGGCGGAAAAGTATTTAAAGATATGATAGCCAAGGTTCCCAAATTTAATGAAAAATATTGGCTTACAGAATAGAGAATCTCAACAAGACTCAAATTGGATAAATACCAAACAACAGGGTCACCTGGGTGGCTCAACAGTTTAGAGCCTGCCTTTGGCCCAGGGCGTGATCCTGGAGTCCTGGGGTCAAGTCCCACATCGGGCTCCCTGCATGGAGCCTGCTTCTCCCTCTACCTGTGTCTCTGCCTCTATCTCTCTCTCTGTTTCTCATTAAAAAAAAAAAAAAAGCCAAACAGCAACAACATCAACTCAATAACATACTACTTAGACACATCAATATCAACTGCTAAAAACTGAAGAGAAAGCAAAACCTCCAGAGCAGTGACAGGACAAAGCAGCATTATATACAGGGGACAGCAGTCTACAGTAAAGCTCACTTCTCATTGAAATAATGGAGGCCAAAATAAAATGGAAGCACGTCTAACGGGCCAAGGAAAATCTGTGAACTCAATTCAGTATCCAGCAAAATAATCTTCACGAATGAAGTCAAAATAAAGACAATTCCAAACAAATCAATATAGAATTTGTTGCCTGCAAATCCAAACTAAATGTACTAAAAAATGTTCTTATAGCTGCATGAAATTAATGCCAGATGGAAACTCAGATCTACAGAAAATAAATAACACTAGCAATGGAAGAAATATGGCTTATTTTCATTCTCATAATTTCCTTATGATACAACCAACTCTTTAGATGTAATGCTATAAGATGGGGGTTCACAATGTATATAAAAGTTAAAGCTATGACACATACCAAGAAAATAAGGCTTCTTGTCTCCTCAAAGGGCATGTTAGTGAAGTTCCATTTTTTTATGTTTCATGCACTGAAAACCATGATCTTCATCAACCTTAAGAGGGCAAGTTGCTTGTCCATGATCACATAGTCAATTGGGACCAAATGCCCCGAGCCAAACCTGTTGGCTGAGAATACAAGAATGCAGGTGGAGCAGCGAAAAGGTTTTTATTGGATACCTCTGACACTCGACACAGTTTCTTGGGCACACAGTTTGGAGCTCATTTAAGATTAGGGTAACAAAGAAGTGCATGAATAGAGAAAGACTGTGTAGGCTAGAAAAGGCAAGCCTGGTGAGAGGAAGAGTGGTTTCCCCACAGAGAAAGAAGACAAAATATGCTAGAAATCACTCTCTTGGGTAAATTAAAGTCTGGAAGGAGGGCAAAGCCAGGCAGTCAATCAGCAGCCTAGAAAGCCAGGAAAACTCCTTGCCTAGCACCTCAATGATGTCTTCTACTTCCTGACCTGCTGGCCATGCCAACTGCACTCAGCACTTTCTTGACCTAGGCAGGGGCCCAGATGTTGTGGCTCTTCCTGGACAGCTCTAGCAAGTGACGAGTTCTGGTTTGCAAAAATGGGATTCCTGGGCATAGGAATAAAATGATATAGCTGTAAAACACCGGCTTACAGTGCTATTTCAGAACTAAACTAAGTGGGGAAGCCAAGTGTAGCATAGAGGACCTCTGAAGAGTATATACTCCCAGGAGTGGAAAAGGGGATGAGTAAGGGAAAGGAACCTCAGATCAGCAAGGCAGCACATTAAGTCTACTTCTTGCTGGGTGGGTGAAAAATCTTCCCTGCCGGAAGCAAGAATATCTAGGAAGAGAATCCAGTCAGGGGTAAAAGGCCCGACGTGTAGTGAGCACTTGCCTTCCCTCTTCCACCATCTACCTATTCTCAACTGTACCAAAAAAGCAGCCTTTCCATGGGGGGGGGGGGGGGGGATGTTGGCAAAGCACATCTTTGTAGTCAAGTCCAATCCTAAGGCTAAGGTCAACTATGCCTGGCAGCTGCATGAGAAGTTTAAACTAGGTCAGATTTGTAGTTGTAAGGGAAGCCATCAGTACCCAGTGAGACCAGGTTGCTGTAGTTCCCCAGCGTCCCGTCTGTGTAGGACTTGCGCAGGACTCCACAGCCTCCACACCTCCTACATGAAAGCCAGTCACACCCCTAAACATTACGGAAGCCTGTTATACCAAACAGTCTTCCTCACTCTGTTGTCAGACTTGCCTATGATTCCAAGTAAAGAAGCAAGAAAGCTACCCTGAGGAAGGTAGGAAGAATGTCTTGATTCTGTTTTTGACTATAACCCTGATGTGGGGATTCCATTAACTCTGGTCTCTATCCAACCGGCATCATTTATCTACTTGTCTAGGTCCTGGTCTACTACGGGGTTTACAAGTAAAGCAAAAATAGAATTGCTAACCTGGAAGTGCTTTAAACTTAGGAAAACTACACATGAAAATAAAACACAAATGTACAATCACAGTCAGATCTGAGTTTTAGGAATCTGGAGATTACTTGATCTAACGGTGTTAGATTTAAGGATCTGAGCCCTTCAATTAAATTCTTGCTGCCTAGTGTGGTCTGAGGACAGAGTCAACATCATCTGGAAGCTTGTTAGAGCTGCTGATTGAGCTCCACTCCAGTCATGCTGATTCATAATTCGCACATTTAAAAGATCCCAGATGATATGGATGGACATTCACATCTGAAAAGCACTGGGTTATAGGATCTGCCCAGGTGTATGGTTCAGTAATAGTAACAACTAACAAGAATGAAATTTCCTTTCCTTTTTTTTTTAAGATTTTTATTTATTTATTAGAGACACAGAAAGAGAAAGAGAGAGAGAGAGAGAGAGAGAGAGAGAGAAACAGGCTCCATGCAGGGAGCCTGACGTGGGACTTGATCCCGGGTCTCCAGGATCACGCCCGGGGCCAAAGGCAGCACTAAACAGCTGAGCCATCGGGCTACCTGAAATTTCCTTTCCAAAACAGAATCTGTCCTCTACATTAACAGGTGACACCTTCCTTTGAGTGAAAGCAGCTTTATTACAAATAATGGATACCAGGGCTCCACCTTAGGGTGGTGTTCAGGCATTATATTTTTCAAAACTCCCGGGTACAGCCAGGGTCAGAGGAATCACAAGAAGTCACATTAGGATAAATCAGGGAAGGTTTCAGGAAAGAGAACTGAGAATCTGGACTTGAAGGATGGACAGGATTAAGAAGTCAAGGAAGAAGAGGAGGCAAGGTATTCCAGATGAGGTAGGGAGTGGGATAGAGTGGGTGGGAAGCACCAAAGAGAAAAAGAAGAGACTGATAAAAGAGGCAAGGAGTCTTTTTAGAAAGCAGGCAATCCAGGTTTTTAGATGGAAACTCCTAGTTCTTAAATGCTGAGAACTCTTTCAAATATGAACCAGAAGGCTGGCCATACTGAACGTCTGTATGCCAGATGGCACCCCTGCCTATATGCATGGAAAATCAGCCTGATACAAGACCGTTTTTCTTCTGAAAACCTCCCTCACTGGGGCCAGGGCCACTCACCCAGTGACCGAGCCCCTAGGGCTCTGACCTCACTTCCTGCTCTCTTCCCACTGGCCCGCCTTTCCCCAGCTCCTCCTCTCACCTGCTCCCCAGGGAAGCTCAGGCGGCCTCCCATCCTGAAGTCTTCCTTGTTTCCTCATCTCCAAGCCCCTGGGATCTGCCCCTGGCATACAGCAAGCATCACTGGACACTTACACATGGACCCCTTTGCACTGTTACTCTGAACCTCCAAGGGCGCGGACAGCTAATTTCTTGGTGAATTAAGTCCTGGGTGGGGCAGCGAGGAACGGTCAGCAGAGGGCTCCGAGGAAGGGCGGGCGCCCCTCCAGTCAGGGGTGAACCGAACTCACTACCGACAAGGCAGTCGAGCAAAAGAAGGGAATGGTTTCATCTCCCAAAAGCTAAGAAGGAATTTCAGGAAATTCTTGTCTTTCCCTAGCTCTCCAGGCCGCGCGGACGTTCCTTTGGGTCTTCCTAGAGAAGAATGAAACTTCTGGAAGCCTACCTGAGGAAGGTGGAGAAGCGCGAGGGTGCCGGGTGGAAACACCCTCCTCCCGCGCCCGGTGGGCGGCAGCCCCGAACAAAGACCCAAAGAGCTCGGCTCTACTCCGACCTAGGAGTCTAGGAGTCTAGGAGTGAGGGTCCTGGCCTCCGGGGCACAAGTGATGGTCTGGGAACTTTGGGAACTCCAACGGAGGAAAAAAGGTGCCAGGGAACCCGCAGCGGATATTTCCGGTCGAGGGTGCTCAGAATCCGAGTCCACACCGCACCGGGGGACCTTGGGAAGACTGCGCCGCCTCCCTCAGCGTCGCCCTCTCTATGGGTCCCAACGGAGTTAAAAGGACACCCGAGCCGATCGCTCACGGACCGCCGGACAGTACCGCGACCTCGCCGACCCACGCCGCGGACCCTCGCCAGGCCCGGAAGCCGAGCCGAACCTCCCCTGACGCGGTACTTCCGCCCGCCGGGAGGCGGGTCGCCACCGGATGCGGAAGTCACTGCAGGGGTCACTGGGGAGTGTAGTCTCCGAGGCGGAGGCGGAGGCGTTAGAGAAGCGGGCACATCAAGGCGAGAAGCTTCACCTGGGACCCTCTACACGTTTTGCGAACGTGGTTTTAAGAAACAATACCGGATCCAGCTGCCGCAGTGGTAGTTCTTTAGTGATCGGGGCACGTTACCTAGAAACAGCTCCCTGGGAGGCCAATGGCTGTTGTGGGCGGTCAGGGCGCGTGTGGTTGCGTGGAGCATCCTGGGAGGGGTAGTCCCGGCGCCACGCCGAGGATGCTGGGTAGTGTAGTCCCGGCAACCTACAGAAGTAGGTCCCCAGCTGGTGGCTGGAGTGACCCCTCGTTCTTTGGTGGAGCTGGTGAGTGAGCCTGCTGCGGGACCCTTGCGGCAACCGTGCCATTCCTTCCTGGCGCGCGGCAAGGTAGGTCCTAAAAGGCCGCTGTACGGGCTGAGGCTGGGGACGGTGCCGATGGCGGGGAGAGGAGGTAGCGGTGGGGACACGCTGTCGTGGCTCAGGCCGTGCTCTCCCGCAGGTCTTATTTTGGGGGGTGTGGGCGCGCATCCCCGAGGACCGTGGGTACAGCTCAGCCGCGAAGCCGGGTGGTGCTGGGTGCTGGGCTTGGGCCTTCCGTCCAAGGGCTCCCGCGAGTGGAGACAGGTTCGGCCTTGGCCGGAATCGCGATGTTGGGAGAGTGGTCGTTCATGTCACAACTACCCGGGTTTGCGAGGAGTTCGGTGAGTAGGCTCTGGGGGCCGATATTCGCCAGGTGGCGGTGTGGGAGCGGTCCCTGGGGCCAGGTGTCCTGGGTTTCGGTGGGTGGATGTTTTTTGGGCGCAGCCACCCGTCCGCGCTGCCGAGGCGGGGCGACAGGCGGCTGGCTTGGCAGACGTGCCTGCCTTGCACTGGGTGTGCAGTGGCCATTTTGGCGCGATCCTAGGCTCTCGGTTTGGCTGGTCGCCCTTGGGTTCCGGCCTGGGAGGAAGAGGTCGGGTTAGGGTCCACCGGGCAAGTTTTTCAAAGGTCCCGAGGATCCTCGCCGACCACTAGAATCACAGATTCCCACAGCCCTGGTGTGAACAGGCTTTGGAATTTTAGGGTCCATTTTAACTTTGTATTACAGAGGAATTTCAAACAGCCAGAAGTAGATAGAACTCCATAAACTCATCACTCAGACTCCGTGCTCATCACCTTAGGATTCCCCTTACTGGTTAAGAATATGGCCTCTACAGCCTGATTCATCTAGGCTCAGTCATTTTATAGCTATGCCACCTTGGGCAAGAGACTGACCTGTGTCTCAATTTTCCCAGCTGTAAAATGAAGATAATAAATTGTACTTCATTGGTTGAGGAGAGTTCGGTGAAACTCATGCAGTGGCTGGTGTATCCTCAGTGCCTGATTCTTATTAAAAACAAAGGTGAGAGAGGATCTGCTCTGCTCGGCTCTGCTCTGCTCATGCTCAGTGTCAGTGGCATGTCAGGGCAGGCTCTGTTCCCAGCAAGCTGCCCACAGTCTTTTCTTCTGTGATAGGTCCATTTCTTTGAAGAGGAGGAGTCCCTACCCTGCTGGAGTGTGAGGGTTTCCAGTTAACTCTCCTGAACCATTTTTGTCCTTAATCTGCCCTCTGTAGCCCCTGCCTACCTGCCCATCTAGGACTGCCCGGTGGGCAAAGAGAGGACTCTTGGGCTCCTGACAGTCCAGCTTCAGGTGGGGACCCCTTTCCTGTTTGCATGCCGAACCACGGTGAGTTTCTTTTGCACAACTTTGACTCCTTGTGCCCTACAGTGTCCCATCCCCAGGAAACAAGGCCTGTTGTAAGAGTGATAATTTTCACAGGGACTATTCTTCAGACCTTGTGTCCTCATTCGTAATCCCTTCAATTTCTCCATGCCTTTCTGCTATAGTATATAAACCCCATTGATTGAGCTCAGACGTGATCCCATTGCAGAGCATTCCTAGATTTCCCCCAGAGAGTACTTCCAGTCTGTCCTTGTCAGCAGCGGAACACTTGACACTATCAGGACTCTTGACTCTCAGGCTACATTATGACTGTCCAACTGTCACGTAGTTCTTTGAGGATTGGGCACCTCATCCTTCTCCTCTTGAGTCACTAACAATACCTGGCACCTGGTTAGATTAAGCAGGTGATGTAGTGTGAAGGCACTTGTTGTCCTTGCTGGCTGGAAGGGAAGTTCCGTCAGGAGGGTGGGGGGAGGCAGGGGAGGTTCTGATTGGAGAGGCTTGGGTTGGGCATTGTTGCAATGAGTCAAAAATGACAAATTAGTGAGTGTGGCCTTGATCTGAGGACAGGAGGAAACAAGGCAGTGACATGATTTCCCTCTCTAGCTATGGCTCTGCATCTTTCATTTCCATCAGAGCTAAGCTTGAAATAATTGCCTCTGCTGCTGTCTCTATGTCTATCCTTCCTTTATCTCTTAAATATCCCAATGAAGCCTTTTCAGCTCTACCTACTGAAAAACATTCTCATCAACGTTGTCCATCCTGTCTGTGGCAAATGCCACAGTCAGTTCTCAGCAGCATTTTACATAGTTGTGTACTTCTTCTCCTTAAAATATCCTTTCACGTGGTTGCTCCTGGTTTCCAGGTTTTCCTCCTACCTTGTAGGCCACTCCTCCTGTTCCTCTTGCCAGCTTCTCTTCTCCCAAACCCCCACTGTGGAAGACCCTGGTTCTTGGACTTCTCATCTTCTCCAGCTACACTGTCTCCTTGGTGGCCCTGACTCCTCTCCAGGCCTTTTTTTTTTTTTTTATTTGTTACTTTTTTTCCCAAGGATTTTATTTATTCATGAGGCACACACACACACACACACACACACAGAGAGAGAGAGAGAGAGAGAGAGAGAGGGAGAGAGAGGGAGAGAGAAAATGAGAGGCAGAGACATAGGCAGAGAGAGAAGCAGGCTCCATGCAGGGAGCCCGAAGTGGGACTCCATCCTGGGACTCCAGGATCACGCCCTGGGCTGAAGGCAGAAGCTCAACCGCTGAGCCACCCAGGCGTCCCCCATCTCCAGGCGTTAAATGCCATCTCTTTTAGGTTCAGCCTAGATCTATGCCTTTCACCCCAGCTTCCAGTCTCCTGCTGTCTACATCGAATTTCTTCTTGGATATGTCTTTGGCATCCCAAACCTAATGTGTCCAATAACAGAATCTGATCACCTCCCCCAAATATGCTCCACCCCAGTGGAGTATAGACCACTCTTTCAGGGCGTTTAGCTCCAATAGGGAGCAGTGACATGATATCTCCTTCTTCCTTCAGATTGCTCAGGCTCAAAACCTTGGAGTCATTCTTAACTCTTTCTTGCTCTTATACTCCATCCCCACTAAGCAAATCTGGACTTTAACCATCTCCAACCTCCACTGCTTCCACTGTGGCCTAGATTACCACCATCTCACCTGGCTCACCTGGATGATCATAGCTCTTGCATGATCTCTTTGCATCTTCCCTCCTCCCCCTAAAGTATATTGGTCACTATAGTAACCAAAGAGATCTTTTAAAATGTCAGTCAAATAATGTCATGCATTTACTCAAAACCTTCTAGTTGCTGCTTATCTCAGATAAAGTAAAAAACCAGTATCCTACAGAGCTGAGTATGATCTCCCCCAATGTTTACACTCAAACTTTCTCTCTCCCACTTGGTCTCCAGCACAGCACACCAGCCACAGTGAACTCTATACCTTGACCATGCACTGGGTCTTGCCTGTGATGCTCAGCATACCAGCCACAGTGAACTGTCTCTTTTCAGAGCTACCCACTTGGCTCACTCCTTCACATGCTTCAGATGTCACCTTTTCAGAGAGACCATGCCTAACCAGACTCCCCCATTCCCTGCCCCCAGATAAATAAATAAATAAAATTCCAAAACCCCACCTCTGTTACTTTTCTTCTTCTCTGCCATATTGGTCTTCATCTCACTCATCACTTCCTGATGTACTGTGTGTTTTATTCATTAAATTTGATATGCCCATCTTCCTTCTTTGGACTTGTGTGTCAATGAGGGTAGATTTTTTTTTTGTTGTTCACTTTTGTATCCCCATTGTCTAAACTAGTACCTATCATGCAGGAGAAGCTTAATAAATACTTTACTGAATGAATGAGTGATCCAACTGTACGTATCTAGAGCTAATTCTGGGAGGAATGGATGAGGCTGACTGTGATGTCGGGAGAGGGTCTGCAGACCCTACCAGGAGGGACTGTGGCCATTGTCCTCCTCCCCTAGCTGGTGTGGAAGTGGGGAGGAGTTGAGAGAGTTCTCAGTTATCAATCTTGGTAATGGGCTTGCTGTGGCAAGTGGGGAAGTAGTCCTGGTGCTGGAATAGGCATGTGGGTGGGAGGGAAGGTACCTCTGTCATTAAGAAAGTTGCAGAGGGAGAAGGCATAGCATGTCTGGAAGGGTTCTGATTATTGATTGCTGCACCACAAACCACCCCAAAACTTAGTGGTTTAGGAGAATCAGCATGTTATAATTTCTCACAGTTCTTTGGGTTTACTAGGATCAGCTTTGTGGTTCTTCTGCTCTGTGTGAGTTATAGATCTGGCTGTGGCCACAGTCCCTTGGAGACTTGTTTGGATTGGAACATCAGAGATGGTTCCCACATGTATTTGGCCCTTTCTAGGATGGCTGGAAGGCTGGGGTCAGCTGGGACAGCTGGACCTCACTCTCCATATAGCATCAGGGCCTCTGCCTCTGCATGGTCTCTCCAGCAGAGGAGCTGAACTTTTTACATGGTATCCTGGGCCTCCCTAGAACACAAGCTTTCTAGTCTTCTTAAGATTTAAATCTGTGACTGACACAGTGTCACTTATACCACATTTATTGGCTAAAGCAGGAAAAGGCCAACCAGAACAAGCTCCCAATGTTTGAAGCTGGAATAGTTTGAACAGCAAAATAGTAATGATACTCTATTATAACACATAGAATGAGATATGAATCCATACTGATAGAAATAAATAAATAACTGAATAAAAATGAGGGAGAAGGAACAACTCTTACTTACAGAATAATTAATGAACTTAGAATTTGTTTAAAAATTATTTATTTATTCATGAGAGACATAGCGAAAGAGAGAGGCAGAGATATAGGGTGAGGGAGAAGCAGGCTCCCTGCAAAGAGCCTGATCGGGGACTCAATCCCAGATCCCAGGATCACGCCCTGGGACAAAGGCATACACTCAACCGTTGAGCCGCCCAGGCATCCCTGAATTTAGAATTAAAAAGGGAAATAGAATATCTTTTGGTTAAATACCACAGTAATACCAGGCATGGACACATCCCACCAACACATGCTAACATTAGTGAGTGGAAGTTTCAAGAGAAACAAGGTATTTGTATAATCTCAAAGTATCTCTCCCAAGATATTTATTAATTTTAAGAACCCAGCAGACATTGCCATAACCAAGTGATCA